GAACATTCTGAAATACCTGAACCAATGATTATTGATGCTATTGAGGATATGACAGGGACCTTTTTATACGTGGCCCATATACATACTCTTATCTATGTCATTTACTACTTGCCACTTTGGGAAGCAAGGCAATGGGTAGAGGGTTTGCGATACCTTTTTCAGCATAAGAGGATCCTGCAGTTATCTGTTCTGACCAGTGGGAATCACCTTTCTGGCATTAGTATCAGTCAGATCCAGGTAGAAGAGATCTGTGTACAGGCCTTCTCTTGGGCCATGTCACTGGTTCTCAACTGGGGTGTACTAACATCCCCCTCAGGGACACCATGAGGCAAGTAAGGCTGCTGTGGGGACAGCCACCAAGTAAAAGTACCCTGGGCATTCCTCCTCCCTTAGCACTCTGATTAATTCTTAAGCAGGCAGGAGTTGACTGATGCTGTAGCTCTTCCCAGTCCACATCCCCAAAACCTTCACATTCCTCCCAGAATCAGAGGCATGTGGGACATGCTACCCATGCGTTTCTGTTTCTAGGAGGAGCTTGGGGAGAGCTAAGGGGATGGACAAAGAAAGGGATACACAGCTGAGGCAGCTCCTCTTTGCTTTAGGATGATCAGAACCCTAATGCAACAGTACCACACACATATGCTACAGCCCTTCCTGGTTGGCTGTGCATAAGGCATATGGTTTTCTTGGAGGTGGCAATATCTGGTTGAGAAGCACTGAATTCAATATGAGGAAGCACCAGCAGTGGTTCTCACCCAGGAGTGCTGCCACATGCAAAAACGTGGTGGAGGACATGACCCTGAAATGGTTGAGAACCACTAGGTCCGGGGTAGGCAAAGTTTTTTGGCTGGAGAGCCGAAAAAACCACACTGTCTACCTTGTAATGCGCCGGAGTGCTGGCATGCCAGAAAAACAAAATGAGGGCCGGAGGAGGGTGGGGGGAGGTACATTGCAGGATGCATTGCATATTAATATATTTAATAATCATAAATGTTGCCTTTTGTTGTGTGTTCCTTTTTCGTTAAGCATGTTGCAGGGAGAGAGAGAGAGAGAGAGAAAAAAGAAAAATAAGAGAAAGTGGAAAAAGAGAGAGAGAGAGAACCAGACGCGCACAAACACAGAGAACCAGAACACACCCAGAACAGAAACATGTGTACACACATCCAGAACCAGACACGTGTGCGCGCACAGATGCACAGAACCAGATGCGTGGGCGCACGGAGCTGGGCTAGTGGGGCACCGGACAAAGTCTGACCCAACAATGCCCTGGGCCTGCCAGAGCCTTGTGCTTCCTTGGGGAGCCAGCCCTGGGCTGCTGTGCGGCTGGCCGAGGCCCCGCCCTGGAGCCTGCCCGTCAGCCCAACCACCCACCCACTCCACACAGCTAAGGCCCTAAGCTGGCAGGACCATTCAGGACATCTAAACCGTTATCCCCAGAGAGGCTGGGAGACCACACAATGGCGCATCCCCACCACAGTCCCTCCACCCTGGTGCCAAGGCAGCGGGTGTAAGGGGGCATCAAGGAGGGTTTTCCCCCAGGAAAGCAAATCAGACTGGCTCTGGACTGACAGCACTGGCTATGCATAACACCCCACTGGGCCCAGGGCACTGCTCTGGGGTCAGGCCAGTGCGGCAGGGGAGAGGAGAGCTGGGCTGGAGCTAGGGGAGTTTGTCCTTGTACCCTGAAGGGACTGAGGCAGTAAGCCAGTCTCCTCAAGGGCTCCTGGGGCATGACCCCTTCCCCCCTACCCACCCTGGCCCCAGGGAACAAATCACACCCTCACTCTAAGCTGCAATGCACAGAGGCGCAGGGGAGCGGGGGACTTGTCCATGGCCGTGCAGAATGGCAGTGGCAGAGCTGGGGCCAGTGGTCTAGAGTCCCAGTAGGAGACTGGTACAGACCAAGGCTTCATGGTCTTGTGAGCAGCAGCCAGAGGCCCAGCATCTCTGAGAGCTCAGGTCTGGAGGAGTGAAGCTCGTTCCTTCCCAGAGGCAAGATCACCTCAGATCCAGCTCCCAGCACTACCCAGTTCTCTGGAGGGGCCAGATCTGGATCTCCGGAGTGCCCAAGCTGCTCAAAACCTTGAAGCAATTCCCCTGCCCCAGTCTTACAGCTGTGAGGCCAGAGGCTCTGGGACTGGAACCAACCAAATAAGCTCTGGGCAGTTGCAGACGGGAGGCTGCAAACAGCTGTGCCAGGCTCCGGCATCAGCTCTGTGCCGGTACATGCATGCACATCTCAGAGCAGGCAGTGGGGAAGGGGCCTGAGGCAGCACAGCCCCAGTCTCTTACCTGCTCCCAGTATAGAGCTGATGACTGGGCTCTGGAGCCCAGTGCAGCTATTTGTAGCCAGCCTGGGCCCTGGGCAGCTGCAGTAAGCAGCAGGCAGGCTGCAAACAGCGTGGCCGCTCTCGGGAGCCCAGTCATCAGCTCCATGCTGGCAGCAACTGCACGCATGCCTCGAAGTGGACAGAAAGAGGGCTGCACTGCCTCAGAGCCAGGCCCTATCCCCCCTGTCTGCTCCGAGGTGCGCACACAGTCGCCACCAGCATGGAGCTGGCTACAAACAGCTGTGCCGGGCTTCGGAGCCCAGTCATCAGCTCTGTGCTGGGAGCAGGGGAGAGACTGGAGATGCACTGTTTCAGGCCCCCGCATTTGCTCTGAGGCGCGCGTCACTAGAGAGCTGATACCGGAGCCTGGCACAGCTATTTGTAGTCTCTCGGCTGGCGGCCAGCCCTGGCCCTGGGAGGGGGCCA